ATGATGGCATCAGCCAATGCCTCAGTGAACAGGTGATTGAAGTGTTCCTGCCTCCCACAATGACTTGGCAGTATAAAACCCCTTGAAAATTGGATATGACCCTTTGAAAACTGGGAACCCTAACAGAATTGAATTTAACTATTATCCTATTGGGGCCTTAAAGTAGAAACAAAAGTGAAGTCACACTATTTGGGCATTTTAGTTAATGGATGGAGATTCATATCTACTACCTTAAACTATATATGGATAACTAACCAGTATACAAACCTGAGGAGTAACTAGTGTAGTGGCTCTTATCTCTTTTCCTACAAAAGTAGTAGTTACATAAAAGATAAGGGAAAAATCATTCAAATTAATATTAAATTCTATGTTCACTTTTCCATATTTCCTAAAATGGTTTTATTCCCTTGAGTCCTAAACAACTAAACAAAATGATACAGCTTATAATCACAAAAGCAGAGGAACAAGGTATCATCTGGCATGTTGGATTACAGGACATTAGTTTGGATCACATATAAGTCACACATATGGAAATTTTTCCAATGAAACATTAAAAAAAGTTGGAGAAAAAAATATTTGGTTCTAATCTTTCCCTCTCAAACTAAACTCATCATGCTACTAGTAGTAAAATTACAAATATTAATAGCAATAATAATATTTATTATTATAGCAGGTAATTTTCAATTGTGTATTTATTTGTACCAAGCAATATAAATAATGCAATTATTTTATTTAAACCTTGCAATAATTTTCTCCCCAGAGCTCATGCTTCTCACCACTTTTCCATATTGCTGTCACTAGCCACCAACAAATTCTAAAATAGGCTTTCCAAAGAAGAGAAATCAATTCTGAGTCCCTCAAATGTGTTTCTGTATTCATTTTGAAATAGTACATGTTTCTGTTGTCAAAAGACATCATTTTGAGTACAATTTCTCTGTATTTCTCTGGATTCTTTGTCAATGAAACACTGGTATAAAGGAAAAAAAATGCACTGCTAGTTTTTAAAAAATATGTTTTTAAAATGAATGCACAAATGAATAATAATTAATTATCAAGAGGATATACCCTCATTCATATACTTTGTCACACTAATAAAATAGGATATCCACTTCCTGCATTTTACATGGCACATTGGTTAGGACCTGTAAAAACTGCCTGTGGGAGATAAATTGTGGTTACTATACCTCCAGACATGGCTGAGGCGTATCTGGAGAGGAACATCTTATCTGCACTGTTATTTTTATATGTGGAGAGCAGTTCTTTGCAGTTATCAGAGTGAAAATTCCATCTGTTACTTGCTATACACAGACTCCGAGCAGAAACCGCAAACCTTTAAAAATGCTTATTTGTTACAAGAAAATACAATACATTTTCAGAATCCTCAAACATCGAACTGGAGAGATTATAGAAAACTCTATGCCAACAAGAGCCAGAAGAGATTACAAACATTTTACCGAGGGAAAAACAAGAGCAGCCTAAATATCCCTACTGAGTAAACTGCCTCATTATTTACTTTTGAAACACAACTTAGATTCCTTTTCTCTATTGTCTCTGATATAATTTCAAAGCAAGGAAGATAATTGGAGAACAAGAGCACTAAAAGCACATACCATACATGGCAAGGAACTGGAACTGAGTGGGCAGAGGGAAACATGAACTGGTTTAACTCCCAATTCTAATTTTTGTAATGATAACATATTAAATGAAAGGCAGTTATACACACCCCCAGAATCTCAAAATTTTAAGCAGCTGATATAGCATTTTCGGTTATTAAATACAAGTCATTAGCTGTCTCTTTAGAAAGTCGCTTTTTCCTGTCTTCTCCCTTTGTCTGTATATATATATATATATATATATATATATATATATATATATATAAATCAAGAGGATATACCCTCATTAAAAAATGGATGTTAAACATTACTTACTACACTGTCTAGAAAGTATTTTGGTCATTCTAAATTCTCAAATACATGCTTGTTTATTTGTTTGCTAAATATGTGATATAACACATGTATGGACTAGCAGATACTATGAATGCTTGATAAGTATTTCCTAATGACTTTTTTTCCATATGCTCTTGATATCTGATACCAGTGAGGACTACAGAAACATTTATAACCAAAATTATAAGCACAATTGCTTTTATATGTGTTTAGATTTCCTATCATTACCTATTATTTTTCTATTAATTCTTTTTTCCTAAGCTTATGAACTTGAAGAATCTTCCAGGAGGAAAAAGCTACTTTTATATGCCCTTGCTTGTTTTAGTTGTTATTTTTTTTCCAAGTAGATTTTTACTAGCCCCCAAGGTAGGCATTGTTGGAATAATTTAATACTATCCTAGGGCTAGTCAATTGTGAACAAGTCTGCTCTATGAAAAAAACTGCTTAAAAATCGCAACTCAACATCTTAGACTATGAAAAGGAACTGAGTGAACATATACTTTATAACAAAGTTTCTCAATTCATATTTTAAATCAAGTCTTCCCATTAGCATTAATAACAATGAATTAATTCCATTGAAATAAAGGCAATGACTTTAAAAATTCTATAATTTTACAAAGGAAAGTCTAGTCCTTGAAGAAGTCCTAAATCCACAATTCACCTAAATTTGCAGAGCCTGCTTTGCTCATTTGAGAGTCACACATGTATTGGATTCTGACGCCATTTCTGACAGTTTAAGTGGCTGCCAAAATGTACAATTGAAATTTTTTCATCTAGAGGTTGTCAAACTTATTTCTATTAAGAGTCAGGTAATAGTTTTGGCTTGGTGGGATAACTGTCACTACTACTGAACTCTCTTATTACTGTAACTCACAAACATGTATACAATAAATTAAATGGTCTTGGCTGTGTTGCAATAAAACTTTATTTATCAGGCAATGATTGTGTTTGTCCTATGAACTATAGTTTGCCATTTTTTCTAAAATAGAATCATTAAAATTTAATCATTCTCATGAACAATCAAGAATTTTTCATAACTTATTATGAAAGCAATTTTTTAATTTCAGATACATCTAGGGTATCCTAATTACTCTTTTATCACATTGTCAATAAATCCAGTATTTTACTATGTCAATGGTCTAATGTGATCATATATGAAATGGTTGCAAAATATGAGAATTTTATTTCTTACATGGTTTCTACACTTTTTTTTTTTTTACTGTTTCAAATTTCTGAATTAGTTACTGTTATCTGACAGGTCAGTTTTCTTACCTTACACTGATTTCCTTGGTCAATAATCTGCTCAATATAAAGCTCTGAGGAACTGAACCCACTCATAGTGTTTAAAACCTTCCTGTAAATTATTAAAATATTGATGCAAACACAGCTACTCAAAGAACCACCATACACAGTGAAGGTATAATACTGGGTTAATTTGCAAAATTACTTGTGAAAAACAATTTTGGAATACAAAAAGCTTCATCCTTTACCTATAGTTATAAGGTGTGTCTTCATTCTTATTCATAGTAGTACACTACCAACAACATGTCAACTTTAATGTTTCTGCCTACCTCTCTTCTCTCTTGACATCACCAGGAGGTAGAGTGTCCTTTATGTGTACTTTCAGCAGCACAAAGCCCTTGTTTGGAATGGTTTACTAGTGCTAGCTGAGAGCTGTAGCTTACTTAGTGGACTCCTCAATTACTGCAGCTTGATCCTGCCCTTATGCAGACTGAGACAATGTTTTCTCTACTTTATCATCTTGTGACCGTTTAAAGTGTGCATACTTTACCCACTTAAATTAGCAAAACCCCATTTTCTCCTTTCAGTAACAATAGCCAAATAGATCTATTAAAACTTTACAAGTGTAAAAAAGAATGGCTTAGCATTTAACTTGAACTAAGAATGGCTCTCTTTTCACTGCTGATTTAGACTCTCCCTCTCACTACATTTCATTTACTTTACATGTTGCTGGCAAACAAAGAAATATTGGAGAGCACTTACGTGTTTCATTTATGTTACAACACCCCATTTTCAACCCTGACATACATCCCAGAATGTTGAATCTATCTGGCATCAAGCAGTTCATGCCTTGATGATTAATTACAAATGTAATAGAAAAGATAAACAACTCCCATCGCAATTGGAGAACAGTAAGCATACATTTCTTTAATCATGGAGAAATTACTAAATTCTATTCATCACAGGTGTGTAGGTTTATGTTATCAGCATCTGCTGTGAATCACATGAAGTTATTATTTTCATTCTACAGCACCAATGGGTGTTTATGGAAATAACTGTACACTATACAATTTTGATTGCACAGAAAGAAAAATAGTTATTTGGAATGCAATTTGGACTGCAATATTTCTTTTTCGCTGCCTCTCATTTGGCAGCTTATCCTACTCAGATATTATCATCAATATGCCATACATAAACTCACATTCATCACTGGTACTTAGGCTTATTAACTAAACAGCAATTATATTGTCGTAGGAGGATTATGGGAATGCATACAACTGAGTGCTGCAATGTTTCCTCTTTTATAGCACAATGTGGTTTTGTTGTTAACAACAAACCATAATGTAAACAATCTGTCTGAAAGTATAAAAAGTGTCACTGAAGGCAAAAGCAGTATTTTATGGGTATGCCCATTTTATAGACATCCTTGTATAAAATCTAGCATCTCAGCATTTTCTAACAAAGCATATTGAATATGAGCTGCACAGAAGATTCAATTGTAATATGAAATTTTACAAATTAATTAAGGCCTGATATTTATGAAAAATCAAAAATAAGATTACTTGAACCCAACCTCAATATTAAAAAAAAAAATCAAAACAACTCAGTGAGTTTTTAGAGTCCTCAGTTCCCACTAAAATAGTACAGTGACTTCACCTCAAAGGAAAAATAGTCACTGGTTGCACACCTGATACCCTTCTTCTCCCTGGGAGGAGTTTCTCCACACAGGACCCAGCCTTTGTCATTCCAGATTAGCTGACAGCACAAGAAAAACAAACAACATTCTACCCATTTCACCATCAACATAGCAAGATGGAGGACCACAAGGTAAGTCCTTGACACTCTCAGACAAAACTACTACAGGGTAAAGCTCATATTTTAGCTTCATTCCTGTAAAGAGATTTCAGTGGAACAGCCCTATCTGCTACCCACATGGTTAATCCAGTGGGCTGGTGATAGAAGTCCATGACTGAAGTTCTTCCAAAGACTGCAATATAATAATGAGTTCATTCATATGGACATTTCAGGATCACAGATGCTGGTAGTATTTAGAATGACTGGATTGATTGATTGATTGATTTGACAGAAATGAAACCAGGAGCCTAAAAAGCTATTTTATATAAGGGATTAAAAAAAAAAAAAAACTAGTTGAAAAACGCCTCCTCTAATCTGATAGAAATCTTACAACAAATCCTTAAAAATATGTAAAACTGGAGAGAGAAACACATTTACTGGGGAGATTAACAAAAATTATCGCCAGCTGCTACTATTCCTGTAAATAGTAAATTGTAATATTTGAAATAATAAAAGTCATATTAAATACTTTTGCTTGAATTAACCAGGTTTATTGACATAATTGCAATTCTGCTTTAATTTGCATATATTAACAGAGGTTTTGTATTCGCTATGTAATAGCTTCATAAAACAATATGAAGCAACTAAACTTGGGACTAGAAATTAGGCCTGGCTGATAAGAATCCCCAGGTTTTCCATTCAGGCTTTAGGCAATGATTCTACCTGAGTATGAATGAGTTGCTTCACCTTGGACTGTACCAGACTTGTTAGGCATAAATGAGAATCATCACCTCTATCCTGTGACTCCTCAGAGGTGATAAGAATATAAGTTCAGACCTTAAATAAATCCTAGAATTCTTTAAAGGAAGAAAATAGCTCTATATAAAATAATAATGACTATAATCTCTCTTTTTATATTTAAAAATTAGAATGCCAACTTAAATTTTATTTTTAAAACCTGTTACTGCTGTGTGGCCCAGATGTTGGGTTGACATCTGCACCATTAGAAAGAAGTTATTCATTCCCTGTATGTGATATTACAATTCTCTATGTACTCTTTCAAAGCTGCAAAAGTCCTGATTTTTCAGAACTTTTGAATCTGCAGAATCATATACATGAAAAATAAAATTATCAATTCTTTAAGAAGAAATTTAGAATATTGATTCAGACTATATATTCTGTGGAATGACTTCCTTGACTTTTTAGGTTGATTATTTCTCTAAGTTTTCAAGTATTAGAATTCATTTAATTTATACTTAAATAAGCTATTTGAAAGAAAACTAATTTTTTAAAAACAAATGTAAATTGCTTGTTTATTGAGCATTATATATTTTGCTCCTACTATCATTTAGTTTCACCTTATTTTCTACAAATAGATTTCTATTTATAAATATTTTGGAATAAATCTTAATTTTCTTATATTTTTCTCATCTTGGAAAACAATGACTGTATTGTTTTCTATATACATATATGTTAATATTATATAATAGCACATATACTGCTATATATTATACATATATTTATATGTATAACAAGTGAGATTTAAATAATGACTTTCTTCTTTATTCTAATTAGAAAGGAGAATTATTGACTCCCACACATGTAAAACTTGCTAATTGACTTAAACCTTTTCTTTTCCAACCTGTGGGTTGGTATCATAATTATCTTCATTTTCCAGATCAGTAAACTGAGGCAGATAGGTAAACTACCAACCCTATGTAACTTGTAACTGGGAGAAAATAACTGAAGCCAAGGCCTTTTGATTCGTAAGTCATTGTTTTTACCCATCTACTATACCATATCTCCAGAGTATTGCCCTGAAGTAGAGAAGAATGAAAATGTTATTTATCCAAGTAGGGAAAAGTCCAGGAAGAGCAGACTGGGGAGTGGGTAGGATGGGGGGAGGGAGAATGGAAACCAAGCATTTGCATTTGGATACATTAAGAATGAAGTAAGTTGAACTCTGTCCTCACAAAAGATGCTGAAGTCCTGACCCCCCCCCCCCCAAGTATCTTGTAAAAAAGGGAAATTAGGATACTGACAGACACACAGGGAAAATGCCTTGCTGAGAGGAAAGGCAGAGATCAGGGTACTGTGTCTATAAATAAAAGAATGCCAGGAATTGCAGGCAAACTACATGAAGGTAGTAAAGAGGTATGGAATAGACTTTTCCTGACAGCCCTCGGAGGAACTAACTCTGCCAAAACCTTGGTCTAGTACTTATTGCCTCCAGAACCAGGAGGTAATATATTTTAGCTGCTTAAACCACTCAGCAGGGTACTTTGTTATGGAAGTACAAGGAAGCTAATATAGGAGCCTGTACTCAACAAGTGGAGTGAGTCAGTCAGTTGTATGTGAGAGCCTGTGTTCAAGGGAGAAGACTGGATTTGATACTGTTTGAATAAAAATTTTTCATATAATAAAAAAAAAATGCTTGCCAAATAAGGCGCATAAATCTACATTTATTTTTACAAGATTCTGACATGTCATTACAAAATGACCTATATCTACCTATCTACCTCAATGCCAAATTAATTTAATCATTTACAGACTATGCTAGCCTTATTTTGTCCTCCCAAATCACATCTCTGTTACTGTCACTTTCTTTGTAAAGTAGCATGAAAATTACTTTGCAAACATTTAACATGTAAGTATAAGGTACTAACATTTGTCAAACATCAACAGCTTAATTTTGGATAAGAGAAACAAAATGAATTCATTACAAAGATAATGCAGAGTTTGATGAATCAATTAAAGGGAGACCTATGGAATAAAATAGGTGGTACCTATGGAATCAGGTTCAACTAACAAAATGTTGTGTAGAATTAATCTGGTAAGGAAACAACCATCATCCTTGCTTTCTCTGCTATCTCTACTGCATGAGAGTCTTGATCCTGTAGAATTTACTACTGCTGCTTACCACCAGGAAGAGAGATTCATCATTCCATGTTTCTGGTGTCAGCTTCAGTATCAAATCCAGCACCAATGTCACAGATTGCCAGAAACAAGATCATGTGACTAAGGTGACTATCATAACTCAGACTGTGGGAATCTGGCATGTTAACCTTCTATCACAGGAAATGCTCTCTGATTCCCCAAAAAGATCCATATGTAAAATATAAGCAATTATACAAAGGAGATTCAATAGTGCATGGCAAAGTCTACCACTGTATTGAAGGAAAAATGTCTTATTCATCTTTACATCCCAACATCCAACCACATGCCTAAAACATATAGGCATATTTGTAATATTTATTCAATCTTTAAAGAATTTTGAAGCTATGCAAAATTTCATAGGTGGACATGTGAGTTGGACCTGATACCAAGATTAGTAGCTTGGTTCTGTTTAATTTAATATTGAAAAGCTACTTAGTTAGAGAAGTATATTCAAAATTCAAGTGTTTTGTTCATTTAATGAATAATTATGGCAAATATATTAGAAATGCGTATTTCCTGCCCCTCAAAGCAATAATTTCTTATTTGAATTCAGTTGTCAGGGAGATAAGGATAAAGAAAAATATATGTAATGTCATTCACTTGGGATATAAAGTGATTAATAAATAGATTTGGGAAAAGGTTTGGCCAAACACTCTGAAGAACTAACCAATTAACACAGCATCTCACTCATGAACACCGTTCATTCATTATTCAGCATAAATTGGAGGAACTAGTGCAACACATCAAATATACTGTTGGAGCTGAGTGATATATACTACATATAAAAGTAAAACAGTGCCATATTTCCATCTTAAAGTATGAAAAAGTGGAGAAACTCTTCTTCCAAACAAATACTATTGAAATTCTAAAATGTAGAGCTAATCAGGAAGCTATTTTTGCCTAAATTATCATGCATGTTTCCATGTCACTCCAGATATAATTGTCAAACAAGGTTTGTGTCTCATCGCTCTTTGCCATATCCTTTCTTTGGCCTTTCCTTCCATATGCTTGTCTCTCTCCTGCCTGTGGTTTTCTATTTCTGTCTCCCTTAAAAAAAGAAAAAAGAAAAAGAAAAAGAAAAAAGAAAGAAAAGAATACCACTTTGCCTGCTGTGCACTAAACTGAATAAGGAAATGATATCCATCAACTTTATCTCTTGGCACCATTCTTCCTGGTAATATATAGCATGCTACTAATTTTCAGGTGAATAAAATGCCCTTGCCACCTGACTATGGATATATGGATATAATCTATCCTCTTGTATGTGTTTTTTCATTGCTTTTTGGAACTTTCAAAGTATAGTACCAGTAAAAAAAGAAAGAAAATCTAATCCATCCTTTGTCTTCCTGTCTTCTGAAGGACAGGAGGTTAGCACATTTATCCACTGGCCCACAGGGCTATTAATTAAAGGCTGCCCTCAAGAGCATTAACTCCTCTTCAGGGCTGTACTTTTGCATGGCCCAGGGGGAGTAGATTCAAAGAATTTGGGGAGAATAAAGTGAACAGACTCACTGTTCTGCTTGAGATCAGATGCCATCTGCATAAGATGTGTCTGAATTCACATGGAGCTGTCTACCACAATAGCATCTGAAGTCAGAAGCAGGCCAAGGGGAGGTCAAGTACAAATGCCAGTGCATGTTTTGATGTAGCAGCCAATTTAGACATTTCCTGACAATATTCATCCCACCAATAGCTGATTTTGTCAACCCTTTCTCTTTGCTAGCTAACTAGCTTTGCAGGTACAGCTGTATTACAAGCTTGGGTAGAAAAATGATTGTTATCTTGTTGTATGATTGTCTTCAAGTTCTGAAAAACTAAAAAGGCAATCAAATAAAAAACAGCACTGGTGGCATCAGAGTTAGGGATTTATGAATATTTGCTCTCCCCATTGGAAGTAGTTTTTTGTTCTTTCCTGCTGCATTCTAAGGGCCACAAGCCATACCATCACCAGCATTAAAATAAAGGAAGGGGGCATGTGATATAATTAGAATTCTGGAGGTCTTGAGTTACCACTGCTTTGATTCCAAACTACTTACCTGCATAATATTTTTGCTAAAATTTCCAGTATCTTTAGGAGCTAGACAAGCAAGGTAAGCCAGGCCAAATGGGATAAGACATGCCCAAGCAGAGGGGCAGCAGCTACTCAGGGCTAACTAAATATTGCAGGTGAAAGGTATGGCCCAGTGACAGTCCAATGGTGTTTTTAACTCCAAGATAAATCAGAAGTCAGGTAATTTATGTAAAATTTCCCAATACCAAAATTCAAAAATGTTTTTATGCTGGGAGCCATTAGCCAAGTAGGTATGACAATTTCCTTGCCAGCGTACCCCATGTTGCTTAGTGGAAGGACTCGTGGAAATAGGACATTTTGCAGTGACATTGCATGTAGGTGACCTTGCTCAAGGACCAAGGCGGATCCGGGTTTAGGGTGTTCCAGGTTTAGGATGATCCGAGTTTAGGGCGTTCCTGGTTTAGGACTATCTGGGTTTAGGGTGGTTCCAGGTTTAAGATTATTCCTGCTGGGAATAGGGCGTATCCTGCTGCCTGAGTTCCCCTTGAGTTCTCATGGGATTCAGACAGTATTTTTTGGGAGACAGAAGCCCAGTGGGGGTGGATTTGGGCAGAGAACGTGGATTTCCCCAGAACGTGATTGTAGACGGCTTGTGTGAGTTCGGGAATAAAGAGTTGCTGTTTGAATCTACAAGCTGTGTGGTGTGGTGTATGGCTGTGGGGATCTCCTACATTAGCGTCTACGACCACCAAGGTATTTTCAAAAGAAATAATTCCAGATTGATGGATGAAATTTTAAAACAACAGCAGGAACTTCTGGGCCTAGATTGTTCCAAATACTCACCGGGGTTTGCAAATAGTAATGACAAAGATGATCAAGTTTTAAATTGCCATTTGGCAGTGAAGGTGCTGTCCCCAGAAGATGGAAAAACAGATATTGTGAGAGCTGCTCAGGACTTTTGCCAGTTAGTAGCCCAGCAGCAAAAGAGATCTACAGATTTGGATGTAGATACGTTAGACAGTTTACTTAGTTCAAATGGTTACCCTGATCCTGATTTAGTATTGAAGTTTGGTCCTGTGGACAGCACATTAGGCTTTCTTCCCTGGCAAATCAGATTGACTGAGATTGTCTCTTTGCCTTCCCACCTAAACATCAGTTATGAGGACTTTTTCTCTGCCCTTCGTCAATATGCAGCCTGTGAACAGCGTCTGGGAAAGTAGTGATCCCTGGTTGCATAATTTGATTTCAGGCTTTTGGAGAAAAGGACCCAAGTGACTCTGATGTTTACAAAGCACCTATGAAACCCTGTGCACACCTAGTTCATATTCCTCATAATTTATCAACAAACACAAAAAAAGTGTCTTAATTGAGAGTGAGTGTATGGCTCTGTGTGTGTGTGTGTGTGTGTGTGTGTATGGAATTAAACTTATAAATGGGGGAAGTATTGGATAATGAAATATATAGACCTACAACTTTGAGCATATAGCAATGTTATAGGAGCCAAGATTTCAGATATAAAGCTTTGGGCCCCTACTACTTCCCTGTTTTTGTGGGGAGTAGAGGGAGAGAGTGACTAGAACTGTTTGGGTTGTTTGGGGAGAAGGGAATAATTTTTGTTCAGTCTTTCCTAGTGACCAAACTTTAATTTTTAAAAATAATATATTATTAAATCAAGGTATTCTCAGTTTGAGGGAGTTGCAGGGGAGTGGAGTTCTGTGTTGCTCACTTGTTAAAAGCTTGCTCCTCTTCAGAGGAGAGAGAATATCTATCTTGAGATATCCGTCCACTTTCATTTCTTACTTCATTGTAGTTAAACAATGTGACTTGAGAATGTTGCTCTGGTGTCTGTGTTCTGTGTTGTGAAGAACATTTGAAAAGAACTCTTGCTACACTGAAATGCAGAATTTAAAAAATTTAAATGTTGAATTAGGCAGGCAAAAGGGAAAAAAGTTGAATTAGTTGTAATCTTAAAAGTAAACATGGAAAATTTCCTAGAAAAGTTTTGATTTCCTATTTTGTGTAATGAGTAGTATGCTGCATACTATCCAAAGTTGGTTTAAAAAATATTTCCAGTAACTATTTTTATTTAAAATGAGCATTTGAGAGAAATTATCAGGGCAGCTCTTTTCCTTAGTAGTAACCTATTCATCTTTAAAATAACACCTGGGATTTTTTTTTCTTTTCCAGTAAATTCCAGTGGTGACTCTGCATAAAAAATTAAGTAGGATTGAGACCTGTGTGTGGGGAAGAATATTACCAAAGTCTACAAAAATAATTTAGATTAATTTTATATGTTCTCTTTTATGACAGAGAACTCATTGGTTCTGGTTTTTTTAAATGAATAAATGATTTCTTGAAAGGTGTTTAATATTTTCCCCTCACAGCTGATCCTTGGTCCTTGAGCAAGGTCATCTACATGCAATGTCACTGCAAAACGTCCTATTTCCACGAGTCCTTCCACTAAGCAACATGGGGTACGCTGGCAAGGAAATTGTCATACCTACTTGGCTAATGGCTCCCAGCATTTTTAAATGTTTAATTTTTCTTAAGTTAAAAAGTGTTAGCAAATAAATTTAAATGTTTACAGTGCAAAGCAAAACAAATATACAGGCCAGGTTCTTAACTGCTGAGTAAAAATATGTTGATTCTTTCTTATTGAAATGTGAGGTGACCAGGGTTACTGTTTTTGCTTTTTGTTTAGAATGGGGAGAAAAAATGTCAAAACTGCAACCTAATACCTTAAACCAGTGAGTAGGTATGCCTTCAGTAATTATATCTAATAATAATTTTAAGTGAAGACTGTCCTAAGACAACCAAGATGTTATTCCTCTTTATGATCGTCACCATTTAAAGACCCAGTTTCTATAAGTAAAAAACAAAAACAACAACAAAAAAAAAAAACAGTGCCTTTTGAGAACATATGTTAATGCTAAGCTCACAAGAAATGGAACGGACTTACAAAATGACCTGACCTAAACTCAGTTCAATTCAAGAATATTCCAAACCAAGGAATACTGACATATACTTCCTTGTCCATACTTCTACTCAGCTTGAAACTCAGTAAATAAGGACACAGCTGCTAACCCAGGAAGTGTTGATATTCATTCATCATCTGCCACAATTTCATTGCCACTTGAACCAGATAAATTATGAGGGGTATTTTAACAACTTATACTTCAACTAGTAATCGGGATGCTTACAGTTTAAAATAAAAATTTGTCACATTGAATGGAACATTCTTTTCAAGTAACTACTATTAGATCCAAACTTTAAACTTTAGGAAGCACATGTACATTTATTTACACATTTTAAATTTGGAAAAAAGCATTGAGGAGAATAGTGAAATTCTATTGCTAAATTTGTCACTGATTTTCTTACCAAGCTGACTTATAACATCTGTGTTTTTTTTAAAGGGGTCTACTTCTAGGAGTTGTCATTCACTGGTAAGAATTAATTTTAGTTCATCAATTAAAATGATAGATGATTGATAAAAATTATATATTGATACATAAATTTCTTAAACATTTATAGTAGTGGTATGATCTGATATGATTGAAAATATGGAAGGGACCTGAGAGATCATCTAATCCATTTCTTTCAATTTTTGTATGAATATATTAAACATTAATTCAAAAAATATTTATTAAGTATGTATTATTAAATGTACATGTAGAAATTGAGACAGAAAACTGAAATGACTCACCTAAAGCCAGTTCCAAGATCAAAATGGAATAATGTGTTATAATCCTTGACCTCCCAAACAAGAGGCTACTCACCTCATGAATCTGCAAATGCTATACAGTTCCAACTACCATGGATTCATTATCAGCACCTACCTGTGTTTGCAATCAGATCACTTTCCCCAAGGCATGCATCCACCATTTTATTATGAAAAAGATAATATGTATGGCAATAGTAGTGTAAGGTAAATGAATTTTAAAGTGAATATCCTTACACCCACCATCCAGATTCTTGCAGTAACATTTTGCTCAATTGCTTTGTCACTGTCATCTCTTCATTAGTTCATTATTCAATCTTATCTCTAAGATCTTATCTTTTAAACTGAATTATAGATACTAGTATACTTCTGCCAAAGTGCTTCAGCACAAATGTCATTAACTGGAGTCCAACTTTGTTACCTAAAATGAAATGCACAAATGTAAGGTTGTTTTAGTAAATGCATATACCTGTGTATACTGCCTGTCAAAATAGACATTATTATCACTCTATTGCAGACCAAATCTGGAACTACAACAATTTTTTTAAAGTACACTTTCATTGAAACACAGGTACTTATTTGTTTACATATAATCTAAGGTTGTTTTTGCTACACAGTTGGAACAGGAATCATCTTGCCCACAAAGCTTAAAATATTTGCAATATGAACATTTATAAAAAGAAGTCAGTTTTATGGTACTCTACAAAATCTCTCATAATCTTTTCCAGTCAATCCTCAGCTCAAGAATTTCATGTACAAGAAAACATATTATATGTACTTTTTTGCATAAGACTTTAGTCACTCATTTTATTGTTTTGAAATAAATTTATGTCATTGAATATTTCTGTAGTTTATTTTCTTTTGTTACATAACCCAGTTTTCTCATCTCTTAGTGATAACATCCCAGTTTGGGGATCTTATAAATAAATCTGCTATGAACATCCTTGCATATGTTTTCATTTTTCTTGGGTAAATACTTGGAAGTTAACTTGCTAGTTTATAGGGTAGGTGTATATTTAGTTTTATAGGGAAATGCCAGACCTATTCTCACAGTGATAAGAAAAGTTTATATTCCCACCATCAATTTATGACAGATACGGTTGCTGCTCCAGAGCTTGACCACACTGGTGTTGTCAATCCATTATTTTTCTGACAATTTCATTGGGCATAGTTGTATCAGTGTGCTTTTGATTTGCATTTCCCTAATGACTGACTGAAGGATATTGAAGGACTTCCTCCATGTACTCTTTAATGAAGTCCCCAACTAAAGGAAACATGTTATTATTAAGGTACATATAATTCACATTCATTATTATTAGATGGACCACTTACATTGAATTATTATAATTTGAATCAAGGAGGATTCTCTAAATTTCTTACTATGCAGATCTAATCAAAGTTTGGATGAGAGAATTTCTTAAATGATTGGTTTTCTCACTAATTCACAGAACCAATTTTTATTGATATCTTTCTATTTTGTTACTTTTTTCCTCTCTTCTAGAATTTAGGTTTATCATAGCAAATAAAAGAGTAAATGTCCTTGCTTGAACTCTAGTAAAGAGATACAGATAACAAATACATAACTATATAAATAAACAAATGAGGTATTATAGATAGTAAAGCACAGTATGAGGGAAATTGATTCAAAAGAGAGAGAAGAGGGTGCTCCTTTGAATAATGATGGTCACATTTGTACTGAAATCTAGTAGAATTGTGCATTGTCTCTTCAGGAGACAATTCTCTGATATCCATCCTCACTGATCACCACTTTTGTTCAGATTCCCTCCTTGCTTATACAAGCTGAGCCATCCCTGGTTCATCAATGTGGTTTTATCTGAATAAAAAGATCAGACTAATGAGATCTTTAAAAAGAGTTTCTATCTATAAAGCAAAGGCTTTATCACATACCTCCCAGCAGATGAGACAGGCAAGCATTACCCCAGCCTGCTAGGAGGCCTGGGAAATTAATGATCTATCTTTTCAGTCTTTATAGCATCTACCCATGCAAATTTACAGGTGGATATTGTACCTGACCAGCACATTTTCAAGCAATCTATAGTACATTAACAATGATTATCCACATACCAAACCTTTGCTTTACGTAGTAAGATATATTTTTTAAAAAACGATTTTAAAAGTAATAAAAACCTTATATTCAAAAGTAACTATAGTTCAAAACAGAAATCTGAAGCAGCATAATGTAATTCCTTTCCTAGCTCCTTTCTTTCTGAGATACTTTTTGGAAATAATAGGAAAAGTTTGCAGAAAACTGCCATTTTAAAGTTGTAAGTAGCTATTCTCCAAATGACTTCGATTCACTTTTGTGAAACCAATCTAAGAGAGTTCTCCAGTTACATAGTTGTAAAGAAAGGAAAGTACCCATTGTTCTTGTATAAAATAGTTAAGTGATCATTTTCCTAAACTCCAGTGTCAAGTGCCCTGGTTTGATAACATAAATTGCTTTGAGAAGCCAACTGACCACAGCAGCAAATGGCTTTGTGGGAAAGTCCTTAGGAGTAGAACATAATACCTGTTCATTAGAACCTATAGTATGGAAACTTAGGAAAATCTTATTAACACATAGGGGCATATTTGTTCAAAATGGCAGGTGGGTGTTCAAGTAAATTTTTGTTTGAGAATTTAAAAGAAAGGTGAAATGATTGTTTACTCATAGGCAGGTGAGCTCTAGTTTTCTTGTTTAATCTACAGTTCAGACTACAAACTGTTAGACATTATGTAAGGCAGGACATATAATTCTTATGTAGACAGCTGTAATTCCAGGGCTTGAAACAAGGCTGATCACATTAGTAGTTTGATTGCCTAATATTTTTTAGTTAATAAATAAAGGGATTAAGAATTTAATAAAAAAATGAAATGAAGAAGATGAAATTCAAAGACTAATGGGAGCAACCAAAGCTATAATTGGTGGGAAAATCCATAATTTTAAAGACTATAATTATATTTTAACAATAGAAATACAATGAAGTAGGAATTCTATTTAAATTTATATCATGATATTATCTTAAATAAAATATAGACAAAATATAATGAAACCTTAATCATATTAAAAGTTATAAAAATAAATTTAAGAAAAGGCTACAGACTTTTTGTCCATAG